ATTTACTACCTTTCCACCTCCCCGCTCCTCCTCCCTCCTCTTCACAACCTTCGCGCCCGTTTCCCTCCACCTCCCGCTCTCATTCACTTTTCCTATAATGGAGGAAGAAGTTATGTACTCATGTATGAAATAAACCTACAAATAAAAATTATGAAAATGTGGGATATAAAAAAGACATACGGCCAGTCATCGAGATCCAGCGAGCGAACTTTTGAAATATGCGAACCAAGATTTCTATGAATGCCGGAACACTCGATGCAGATTAATGTTCCTAAATTGAGCGAAGCCCAATCCGGTTTCGGTGCACCGCAATCTGCACAGTACTCGTTGCCAGGAATTTGTCGCAAAGCTTGCACCTGCAAAACATAGAAATATTTCAAGAAATATGATGTTAATTATGGCAAAAAAAAAGTAAATGAGAGCGAAAGACTTCTGGAACTAGCATTTGTAAAGCAACCGGTAGTACCAATGGGGCCAGCAGCATGATATATGCTGATGTGGATGAAAAAAGATAGTCGAGACTAATACATGTGAAAAAACTGCCCGAGAAGTCCCCGCAATTCATCGTCAAGCTGCATACAATGGTCAGTCCTGAATAAGAAAACGAGAGGTGTAAACTCATCAGTCGAGTTCTTCTTCCCACCCCCCTCACTATTACTACTGGTACTTAGTATAGAAAGGATGACCGGAAGAATAATGGAAGGAACTAAAATTAAAAAATACTACAACAAATATCGTAAAAATATGATAAGCAAAGAGCAACGAAGAATCCCCTACCTCAGTTTTGTTTCCATGCAAGCGACCATTTTGCTTTTGGCTCATCTGAGCTTGCAGTGATTTTCCAATCAGCTCTTCGATGGCAGCAACCCACTCATCACGCTCTTCCGGCGATGTTGCCGAAAACTCCCAGCGCTTCTGATCACAGGTCACAATTTCAAACTCACAATCATCTTCTAAAACAATCCTTTTGTTGGTTCACGTAAAAAAGAGCACTGAATCAAAAATTTTTTCATAAATATTTCAGATGAATGAAAAAAAAATTGAATTAAAATGATTCATAGTCAGAATATTACGCTTCAAAACAACTCATACAATCCTATATAAAGAACAAAAAAAAAGTGAAGAATGTGCGTTCATGAACTCACGCACCTTCATCATTTTTAACAGCCGATCCAAGCCGACGGTGGCCTTTCTTTTTTTTGGCGCTGCTCGCGGAAGTTGTCACAGGTGCTGTCATCAATGAGCTGCTGGTACTTGATGCCAAAGCTTGTTGCTGCTGATCGTCACTGCCACCGGATGTTCCTTAAGAAAAATCTTACATAACAAAATTCTTAAGTTAGTAAGGTACTTCCTCATCATGGCCTGGAAATGACAATATTTAGCTAAAGACGGAGATCCTCAACGCAATCCAACGATATTTTGGAGCTAAGAAAACCTCGCTAAACGTTATTAAGCTGGTAATCCATTCAAGAGAAAAACGCTCGTTTCGTTTCCTAAGATTTGTTTTGATATCAGAATCACCAGCAAGCTGACCAACAGACGATATGTCACTAGTCAAGGGGCTAAAAAAGCGGTCAGCTGCACGGCTAGAGAATCCGTCTGTGAAGTACATCTGTCCCAAACATTCCAAATACTAACAAAAACAGAACAATTCTGAACAAAAAATTTTAAATCTGCTGCTTCCACTTGAACCGTACAAGCTATTCGCTACTCTAAAACTTGATGGATATCGCGTATCAGTGAATGGGATTCAAAAAAACGAAAATGATGCTATCTTTCAAAAGCTAAAATTTTACCTTCACCATTAGTACATGGCTCATCGGTGAATGCTTTGTTATCCTGGCCCGTTGATGCGTCACAAGCACTCGCAATGCTAAGTGCCAGTCGCGGATCAAGTGATTCTCGTTGCTTAGTCCCTGCATTTTTATTGTTATGCAAATCTCGACCAGGTAGCACATGAGTTTGAGTTCGGTGAGTATTTCGTGGCTTTTGACGTCCAGCAACCCGAACTGTTGCCAAACCCAAGAAAACTTCTTTACCACTGGCATCTTTTTCCATATATTCCTGTAAATTAGGAGCTTATCATGGCTTCATTGAAAGAATTACGCTGTTACCGAAACTTCGATGTGGGGATTCGATGTTGACAGTGTTCGAAAGGCAGCTAAAGCTCTCAGCACATTAATAAATCGACACGCCTTAATAACAATCGCAAATCAGATCTTTTCACCTAAAACTAAGGCAAATGCTAAAAGAAAAAAAAAAGCATTATAAAATCCACTATTATGAGAACCCGTTAGGATGCTCCCGCATACCTCCTTTCTCAGATACTCATCGCCACAGCAAGTAAATCCTAAAAAATTCTAGTGTATGGAAGCATTAAATGAAGCAGCTTTGGTCACAGCAACCACAGAAGGATTGTTAGGCGTGCCATAG